AAGGGCGTGCTCGCTCAATCCAAAGTTGACCCCAAGCTTGTAGAGGATGTCGCCGTCGGTGAGTCCTTTTCAGCAGATTTGTAACCGTAACGAGGCTCTGGGCTGACTCTCTTGTGGCGATTATGCTGCACCAATCATAGGCAATGTCCTTCCCCCCGGCGGTGGTGCTACTGTCGCACGCATGGGTGCCCTTTGGGCCGGCTTGCCAAACACTACTGCAGTCAACACTGTCAACAGGCAATGCTCTTCCGGTCTTGCCACGGTCAACCAGATTGCCAACGAGATCAAGGCGGGACAGATCGACATTGGTATCGGTGAGTAATGACGTTCGAAAGCTCATCGGAAAGTGTGTTGGAAGTGCGAGTGAGAAGCGCGATGGGTCGCTGACGCGCATTTCGCACTGGACTGTCGCAGGTGCCGGTGTTGAGAGCATGACTCTCCACTACGGAGCTGGCGTCATGCCGGAGAAGATGTCAGATGCTGTCATGGAGAACGATGAGGCTGCTGACTGCTTGGCGCCCATGGGTATCACTTCCGAGAATGTCGCCAAAGAGTACGGCATCTCCCGCGAGGCCCAGGACAAGTTCTCTGCAGAGAGCTACAAGAAGGCTGCGCAGGCTCAGAAGGATGGCAAATTCAAGAGGTGAGCCACCGGTCTGTACTCCCCTGCGCCGCCTTGAAGACATCGCTAATCTTTTCACTTTCTGTCCCCCAGCGAGATTGTCACTGTGAAGTACACTGATGACGAGGGCAATGACCGAACAGTCGACAGCGACGACGGCATTCGTGACGGTGTCACTGCCGAATCTCTTGGCAAGCTCAAGCCCGCTTTTGACAAGAACGGTTTCACCACCGCCGGAAATGCTTCTCAGGTCAGCGACGGAGCAGCTGCCGTTCTCTTGGCTCGCCGCAGCGTCGCCAAGAAGCTCGGTCTGCCCATCCTCGGCAAGTTCGTCACTGCCTCTGTCGTTGGTGTTCCCCCCAACGTCATGGGTATCGGACCCGCTTTCGCCATTCCCAAGGTTCTCGAGCTGGCCAACATCAAGAAGGAGGATGTGGACATTTACGAGATCAACGAAGCTTTCGCTTCTCAAGCCGTCTACTCGATCGAGAAGCTGGGCCTTGACTACAAGAAGGTCAACCCGGTGGGTGGTGCCATTGCTTTCGGCCACCCTCTTGGTGCTACCGGATCTCGTCAAATCGCTACCGCTTTGGCAGAGGCCAAGCGCGAGAACAAGAAGATCATCGTCACCAGCATGTGCGTCGGAACCGGCATGGGCATGGCAAGTTTGATCGTCAACGAGCAGTAGAGGAAGATCACTCGACCGTGCTCCCCTATACGACGCCTCTCGCACGACGACTTCCTTCGCTCTGTAGTGCCTACGTTTTAAAATACAATGTGGTGACGATGCGCTCACGAATGGATAGCTTTCTCTCTACTTGCGAGTGATGTGTGAATACAGAGTCGACGGATGAGGAGCTCCGACGTGTCTGCCTGACTATCGGTAGCGGTATCCTGATCGTGACGTGAGGACGACAACGCTAACATGAGCACACATTGTGCTTGTAGGCAAAGGTGCAGCGCAGCGCCTCTGAGAAGGATCAAAGAGAGGCTTGCAACTTTACGCGCATGATCGAATTCCCTCTGCTCGCCTGCTCGCCTTGTCGTGCCGCCGCTGCTGCTGTTGCATGGCTGCTGGCTGCAATGTGTGCGT